AACCAATTGGCAATACGAGAAGTAGCCCAAGACCTCATAAAACCAATTGGCAATACGAGAAATAGCCAAAGATTATATAAGCACATAGCAAATCTTGTCCTTCACTGATGTGAGACAACTGTCAACATGCCAATATTCCAAACCCTAATCCCCACCCAACATTATCCTACAAGTATAGTAATTTCAATTAATTAGTGTACAGAATTAATTAATTTATCAACAAAAAATCAAATCTAGTTACTTTTTTTTTCCGGTGGCATTTTGATGACTGAACTGGATAAATAGTAAGATTAGTAATGTTTTCTCTTCTGACAAACCCCCTCCCAGACAACAACCACCGGCCGGCGTCCCTCACATCACCAACGGCGTCCCCTATCAACCTCACAGCCATCCTGATGAAATTGAGGTTCCACCATAAAACCAATTGGCAATACGAGAAGTAGCCCAAGACCTCATAAAACCAATTGGCAATACGAGAAGTAGCCAAAGATTATATAAGCACATAGCAAATCTTGTCCCTCACCGATGTGAGACAACTGTCAACATGCCCCCACACGTGTGGCGGATTTTCAAGCCTACACGTGGACAACAGCTAGGTGACGCGGAGCGCGTGTGGCCGTTTGGCTTCACACGAGGACAACCCGCTCTGATACTATGATGAAATTAAGGTTCCACCATAAAACCAATTGGCAATATGAGGAGTAGCCCAAGATCATATAAGCACATAGCAAACCTTGTCCTTCACCGATGTGGGACAACTGTCAACACATCCTTCCTTCTCTATCACTCTCGCAGCCGGTATCCATGTTCCTTCTTCCCTTCTCGAAATTATATGAAATATGAAATTCCCGCTAACAAAACCCAAGAGCAAGGAGTTCCTTCATTCAATTAAAAACTTGATCGGTGCGGTTTTTTTTTTTTGTTGTTGTTATTGTTGTTTTGATGGTTGAGAATTTTATGAATCCAAAATCAATAAGAGATAAAGAGAGAGGCAACTATCAGACTCGTAAGGATCATCGGTGTCGTGGTCGGGATCGAGGAGGGGTGCATGTAGGGGGAAGGAGAAGAGTTTTTTTTTTTGTCAAACAATAGATTTGCTAAATTAGATGTTAGATTAGAGAGTCGACGGGATTTGAACCCACATTGTAATTCAAGGGCAACACTTCTCTCCACCACTATGGTAAATGGCTTCTTGTGTTTCATTTTATCTTTTTATTTACAATATTTTAAGGGTAATTTGGAAATCAAAACACACTAAAATTTTTGTGTGGTGAATTTAGATGGGTAATGGAGTGTAACTAGAAAAACTCGTATAGTAATTTCATGTAATAAACTACATAGAGGGCCATTTTGAATTCGGGTGATAAGGGGTACACTGTTTAAGCCAATTTAATTAAATTTTTATCTGTTATGATTATGATTAGTAATGTTTTGTAATACAGGAGAACAAAAGATTCAACAAAAAAAAAAAAAAAAAAAAAGGAGCACGAAATTCAATAAAAGTCAGCAAGGTAATTTCACGGATATACAAGTTATTAGTAGTGTATCCCAACTATTGACCAAACAAAATAGCTTATTCAACAATTGGAAGTACTAAATTTCTTTTGTGATTTTGTTTTTATTTTTATGTACTATTATACTCTAAATACTTTTGGGAGGATGTGGGAATATAGAACAAAGTTATTACCTGGAGATATACAACTCCTACTGCGGCAGAAGTGGCACCAAACCCGAACCCCACGTACCACCAGTTGAAGAAGGAGCTCTTGACCTTGATCTCTTCCGGCGTGTTCTCATCGAACTGATCTGCTGCAAATGTTTGCAAGCATGGCTGCAGCGCACCTTGAGCCACCGATAAAGTGTACAGCGCCACAAAGAACACTGCTCGGCGACTTTGTGAAGGAATTACTGAGATGGACAGAGTCAAAAGAACCATGCCCTACAATATGATATCTAAGCTATGAACACAACTACTCAAGTATATCTATCCAATCAAACATGATTAATATTTTCTTATCAAATAAACTAGCTACGTTCTTACCAAAGTTGAACATTCAAAGCATTTATTAACGGGAAATAAATGCGAATACTGATTTACTAGGAAATGGATGGTGATGGATTAGGTTTTAAACTGACCAAAACAGGAATCTGCAAGAAAGGAGCCGAGGACAGGGAAGACTGATGAGATACCAAGCCAGGTTCTGATGACACATTTAGTTTGATTCGTTCTAAATATGTTAAAAGAATGAAAATTTGTATTAAGTATTGTCTTTTTGGTATTAAGTATTGTCAAAAAACCAATTTAGCTAGCCAAATGAACTTATTATCTTTAACAACACTATATTCTAACAAACACTATACTATTTTATCCATTTTTTTATTTATACAAATCCAGTTTTTCGCTCTCTTCTCAATTTTCCCACTTTGACCACTTCATCTTTCTTTTTCTTTTTCACTTCATTTCTTCCCTCCACACTCTCTCTCTCTCTCTCTCTCTCTCTCTCTCTCTCTCTCTCTCTCTTACCTTTCCCTCTTCGCTTTCTTTTTTCCTTTATATGCTGCAGGCTCATATCAAAACCCAAATCTTTCAGGAAACCAAACTCCTCATCCTCATTTTATCGTCACACTCTCCCAGTCCATCTAACCCTAATTTTCCTAATTCAACCATTTAGCAAGCCGACGTCCGATGCGCTGAAGAATGTCAATCTCTCCCCAGACTCAGAAGTTAGCTCCGCTGCCGCTCCTCATTCATCACCGAATCTCATGACTAGATGAACAACCACTGAATAATTTATCACTGAATCGAAAACGAATCGGTTCATCTGTACCGATACGGATTTCGGATGCTCTTTCACCGTATTCGGCCATTATGGTTTAGATTCACAGTCTCTCGCAACATAGTGAGCATCATACGGGCGTACCAAAACTGAACATTCGACACATATTAAAGGGAAAAAATGCGATGACTTTTAGATGATTTACCAGGAAATAAATGGTGATGGAGAAGACGATGGTTTTGAACCGACCAAAATATGAATCTGCAAGAAAGGCTCCGAGGACAGGGAAGACTAATGAGATACCAAGCCAGGTGTTGACATTCTTAGCCGCGGCGGCTAAGGGCTGGTCCAAAACATCTGTGAGGTACATGATGAGGTTACTTGCCAACCCATAGAATGCGAATTGCTGGGCCACCTCAACCACTGCAAGTAAAATTTAATTAAGCAAAAAGAAACAGAGTACTCTTGAAAGATGAAACTTCAATAAGTTTTCAGAAAAATTAATGAACTGAATACAAATATTGATCGCAACAAAAAAATTCAAGTAATTGTGGAATTAAATGAAAAATAAGAATATAAGATGAACATAGAAGAACTTGATTGCTTACAGATGATGAAAATAGCAGCATTCCAGCCACCCGTATTGGGTTTTCCAGAAGCAATATTCATAATTGATGGTGTTTAGAGAGCTGAAATATTATTGGACCTCCTCATCAAGAGGGAAAAGTACTAGAGATTTGTCTGGAAATTTGGTGGTTTTACATGAAATTTTTCTCGTTGAATAATATATGGATCGTGTTTCCGAACTCATATACATACATACATACATACATACATACATATGTATATGTCTCTATCTCTCTCTCTCTCTGTGTATATATATGTATATAGGGTGGTCACTGGGCAATTAATTAGAATATATAAAGTTATTTGGTTTGATGCTACTGGCCTTTTATGCTTATAAAGAACTATTTTAGGAGGCGTAGTTGCTTGCTGCGACCCACAAGACAGGAGAATGCAGCACTTGATTGTACGAATGGCAGGAGGATATTCCCACGTGAATGTGATTCATGTTTATTATTTTAGGAGGCGTAGTTGCTTGCTGTGAACCACAAGCCAGGAGAATGCAGCACTTGATTGTACGAATGGCAGGAGGATATTCCCACGTGACTGTGATTCATGTTGATGAATATACCCACGTGACTGATTCACGTTGATGAATTTTAAAACATACATGCTTGACCTGTAGCGATATTTTTTTTTGGGAGACACACCAACCCAGCGATCGACGACAGAATGGTATTAACAAATAGGGTAAATCTCAGTTTTTTATCCTTAAATTTCGTTGTTTTCAATATTTGGTACATTAAGTTTTTTTCGTCCCAAAGTCATACCTAAAGTGTTAATTTTGGGATAGTCCCATACATCCGTTAGTCTGGCTGTTAAGTCTCCTATTAACTGCTGATGTGGCGCCCATGTAGACAATGACTGGGCGCCACGTGTCATTCAGGGGTCCATGTGGAAATTAAAAATTCAATTTTTTTTTGGTCCTCTTTCTACCTTCCCCAATGTCTTATTCCTCTCTGTTTCTTCTTATTCTCCCAACACAAAAAGCTAGGATCTCTCTTCCTCCTCCTTCGCCGGCGCCACTCCCCTCCCAACTTTCTCTCGAACCCTCCCATCCAATCCGGCGACCAACCCCTCTTTCTTTTCTCCTTCTCTGCTCATCATTTGCGCTCGCCACCAGCACCGCCACCATCAGCCTGAGTTCGCACTTGACCTGCTCGAGCTTACCCATCAGATCGTACGATGGGCTCCTTCAAGTCGTTGAGATCCCAAAGGGGTCAAAGAAGACGCCGAATTGGTCCCTATCTCTGTTGGATGTCGATGAATTAAACGGTAAGGCTGTCATTGTCGGAATTGTTTTGGGTGAGGAAAAAACGGAGAAGGTTGGTGAAAAGGTAGGGGTGGTGGTTGTTGAGGAAGAGGGAGGGTTTCTCGAGAAGGTTTCATGACTTGAACAGCGTTGTACGATCTACAGTTAAATTGGGGATTATTACAGATTATTGAAATTAGGAGATGAATTGATGTGGAAGTTTTGAGATGATTAGGAAATTGGGATTAAGAAAATACAAATTATGGTTTTGGGGAAGGGAAGGGTGAGCAGCTAGAGTGGGCACAATGCAGATTAGGGTTTGGTGGGTTGGATGGGTGGAGTCGAAGATGGAGGGGAAGATGGAGGGGGAAGGGTGGATGTATAACAAGTCGAATAGAAGAGGAGATGAGGGTTTGGTGGATTGCTGCAGAGGAGAGAATAGAAGGATAAGGGAGGAAGGGAAGTCGGGGGAGGTAGAAGATGACCAATTTTTATTTTTTATTTTTTGAATTTTTAATTTCCACATGGATTCTTTGATGGCACGTGGCGCCCAATCATTGTCCACATGGGCACCATGTCATCAATTAACAGAAGACTTAACAGCCAGACTAACGGATGTATGAGACTATCCCAAAATTAACACTTTAGGTATGACTTAGGGACGAAAAAAAACCTCATGCACCAAATGTTGAAAACCATGAAACTTGAGGGTAGTATACTGAAATTTACCCTAACAAATAATATGGATGTAGGATTATATCGCCTTCTCTTACAATTCTCACTTCGTCTTTCTTTCTATATAAAAAAAGTCAACAAAAAATGTTAATGTGATTTAAGCGTAACCATTCAAGTAAAAATCAGAGTGAAGGTGAGGGAAAAATAGGAGAGAGAATCCTCATCAGAATTTTAAACAAGAAAATACACTATTAACAAGTCAACTTGTGATTCATACACAAACTGGCATCACCGATTATTGCAAATGTTGTCAATAAGTGTTATTGTGTTATGGCCAATTTATTGAAAGGGAGAAAGTGTTGACTTGTATTGGGATTCCTACGATTATGGGATTCCTATTATCTTGGGTTTCTTAGTTAGGATATACCTCTGATTGAGAAGAATACAAATCACATTTGAAAGCATTCTTTCTTCTTGGCATCAGAGTCGAGTTAGAGAAAAAAAGGACCAAGCCCTTGGGTTGGTATTGCCGTGCTTAGTACACTTTCGTTATGCCTCTGTTTCGACGTAAACAACGAACGACTTAACGCTGTTGTTATCCGAGTTGTTTTCTCGTCCCTAATCGATTGCAACAAGAGACCCAACATCATTGCTGCCCATGTTCCTTCAGTGTTTTGTCCCCGTGTTCCCTTTTTTCTTTCATCATAACGTTGCAGTTTCTGATTTGCATCGACAATAAAGCAAATGGCTGACGAAACGGCAATTGGTTCTGTGATTGTTCATGTTGCTGCTCCAATTATGGGGTACAGTTGGATAATTCTAGTTTCAATATTGGTATGGTATTGGATGACAAGAACTATGATTTATGGGCTTCTCTCATTCAAATCCATATCGTTGGGAGGAAGAAGATGAAGTATCTTCATGGGTCAATCAAGGCACCTAACGAAGACGATCCTAAATATGATGATTGGTTCTCTGAACATCAGAGAATTAAGAGTTGGCTATTGTCTTTAATGAAGCCAGAGATTATGTAATGGTACATTCGATTATCTACTTCGAATAAGATTTGGGACACTTTTAAGGCAACCTACTTTGACGAGAATGATGAGGCTCGAATTTATTCTTTCAATCAGAAGGCATCACGTTAGAATGGCCGACTTTTAGCTACGTATTTCGAGGGACTGACTGCGATTTTCCAAGAGTTGGATCACTTTAATAAGGTGTCCATAGAGTGTGAGAATGACATTCAAACATTTCATAAATCCATTGAGAGACAATGAGTCTGTGTGTTTCTTGGTGGCCTCGATGATGTGTTTGATCAGGTTTGTGGAAAAGTGTTACGGAAGGATCCCCCACTTGGGTTTCAGACTTCTTACACTTATGTTCACTGTGAAGTTAATCGAAAAGAAGCAATGAAGATGGAAGTTGACAAGAATGAACCTACTATCATGGCTGCAAAGATTCGTGGATCTTCCTCTTGGTCGGACCGAGCCGGGTCATAAAATCGGCCAGGACAAACTCGCTCTAGCCAGACAAGCTGGGACCATCCCCAAGGTAAGTGCTATATTATGGCATGACAGGACACTCCAAGAGCCGCTGTTTTGTGCTAATTTGATATCTCAAGAATTGGGATAAGACCCATGATCCCTGAGGCAACAAATCATGAGCCTCCATTACAGAAAAAAGAATGATTTATATCATATAGCAGACAAGGCCTCTGCCATGATTGATGTGGTAGGTAGTAGTGATGGTAAGGCACTAAATAGTTCCACTTCTGTTACGAATAATACATGGATAATTAATTCTGGAGCTACTAAACATATGACTTGTGATTCTAGACATGTTCTATCCCTAATAACTTCCACACAAACCGTGGCCATTATTGCTAATAGAGATGTCACCCCAGTTATCGGGGAAGGCACAGTTGCCCTTTCTAATACCATGAAACTTGACACCATTCTTATGATTCCCTTTTTAAATTATAATTTGTTATTCATTGCCCAAATAACCCTTGCCTTGCACTATTTAGTTATTTTTTGGCCCAATTTTTGTGTTTTTAAGGACATCCGGACGCAGAAGACGATTGGTTATAGTATTAGACGATGGAAGCTTTATTACTTGGAGTTGACTACCAGTAGTTCTGGCCTACTGACTCAAGCCTTGGGCATGCTAATAAACTGTTGGACATCTGGATGTGGCACCAACACCTTGGGCATGCTTCTTTTGGTTATCTGCATAAGTTATTTCCTAGTCTGTTTGTTAAGAGCGATGTTTCTCAGTTTAAGTGTGATGTTTATGATTTGGCTAAAAGCCATCAAACTTCTTTTCCTTCAAGTTTAAATAAAAGTTTCATTCCTTTTATGATTATGCATTATGATGTGTGGGGTCCCTCAAAAATAGCTACTTTTGGTGGTGCTTACTGGTTTGTTATTTTTATTGACGATTGTACAAGAATGACTTGGGTTAGTTTGTTAAAGTGAAGAAATGAAGAGTTCGGTCTTTCAAAAGTTCCATAAAATGGTTGGTGTGCAGTACAACATGAATATCCAGGTTCTTCGAAGTGACAATGGCGGAGAGTATGTTAATACGGAACTTCATTCATTCCTTGATATGCATGGTATTTTTCATCAGACCACGTGCCCGTATACTCCTCAACAGAATGGGGTTGCCAAAAGAAAAAATAGACACTTGTTAGAAGTGGTGTGTGCCTCGCTAATTGAGGCATATCTCGCTCTACATTATTGGGGTAAAGCACCCACATCCGCGGCCTATCTTATTAATCGTCTTCTTCTTACATTCTCAACTTCCAGACACCGTTTCAGGCCCTTATGGCTCTGACTAGTTGCCTACCGATTCCGAATCTTCCCATGGGTGTGTTTCTTTTGTTCATCTTTATCCTCCTCAACGGAAAAGTAAACTTGACCCTCGAGCCCTCTGTTGCGTGTTTTTGGGTTATGCCTCTACTCAAAAGGGATATCGTTGTTGTCATCCTCCGACTAAAAAGATGTTTATAACTCCGGATGTGATTTTCCATAAAAAGGAAATGTTTTTCAGTTCCTTCTTGTCCTTACTTCAGGGGGAGTATCGAGGTGATGAAGTTGGGTATTTTGATTATTTCCCTATAGCAGGAAGTGAGCTACATGAAGAGCATCCACCACATTTGGAACCCACAACCTCTAGTAATCAGAAGGCCACTAAATAGCAGCCCACTGATCAGTAGACCACCGAACAACAGCTAACAAACCAGGAACTAGCTGTTTGGCCTTGGGAGGAAGACCAGCACATGGGTTATGTGCTTGAAATAGAGCTGCAGCTACATGTTTTAAATGAAACTGAGCAGCAGTAGCTAGCTCGTGATTCTTCCCCATATGTAGTCTCAAATCAGAATATGGACTCATTTTCTGTTAGTACGCATAACCAATCGTCTTCTACACTAGATGCACCTACATTTCGTCGTCTTCCCGATCGTATTAACCAAGTATTCCTTACCTATTTACAAGGCAAACCCTAAGTGTAAATACAAGTACCTTGTGAGTGAACCAAATTCTAATTCAAGAGTGAGATATCCATTGAATAATTATGTGTCTACCCGTCACCTGTCTGAATCAATTTAGTCATTTGTATATCAATTATCTATTGTAGCTATTCTTAACAGCATGCAGGAAGCTTAGCAGATTCCCGCTGGAAAGATACAATGAAAGAGGAATTGAGATCGTTGAAGAAGAATGCTACCTGGGAAATAATTGACTTACCAGCCGGAGCCGGAAAGAAACCTATAGGATGCAAATGGGTCTATATAGTGAACTACAAAGTGGATGGAATAGTGGATCGCTTTAAAGCGAGATTGGTGGCGAATAGGTATGCACAGATATATGGCATCGACTACACTGATACATTCGCACCGGTGGCCAAGATCAATATAGTTCGTGTTCTATTGTCCTTAGTAGCAAACCTAGATTGACTGTTGCAACAATTCGATGTAAAAAATGTGTTCCTCCACGGAGATCTAATCGAGGAGATTTACATGGACCTTCCACCAAGGTGTAATGATCCGAGCATGCAGAAACAAAAGGTATATAGGCTCAGGAAGTCATTATATGGTTTGAAGTAGTCTCCGAGAGCTTGGTTTGGTAGGTTCACTAAGTCCATGAGAGCATTCGGTTATAGGCCGAGTAATTAGGTTCACACATTATTTTTGAAACGCAAGAACGAAAGGATTACAACTTTCATTGTATATATGGATGATATGGTGATTACCGATAACGACTCCATTGAGCAAGCGGCCTTACAGAAATATTTGTCTACAAAATTTGAAATGAAAAATCTCGGTTCTTTAAAATATTTCCTTGGGATTGAAGTATCGAGATGCAAGTTCGGGATATTTCTATCACAAAGGAAGTTCATCCTTGACTTGTTGGAAGAAACCGGTATGTCAGCATGCAAGCCGGTGACTACTCTGTTGGCAGAAGAGATGAAGCTGGGTATTGATCAGAACCAGGTGCTAGTTGATAAATGGAGGTACCAAAGATTAGTAAGAATATTAATGTATTTGGCCTATACTAGGAAAAATCTTGCTCATGCATTAAGTATAGTTAGTCAATATATGCATAATCCAGGAGAACAACATATGAATGCCGTTATGAGAATATTGAGTTACTTGAAAGAAAGTTTGGGTAAAGCAATTCTGTTTCGAAAAAATGGGCATTTCAGAGTTAAGGGTTATATAGACGCTGATTGGGCAGAATCAATAGGTGATAGGCGCTCAACATTCGGATATTTCACCTTTGTTGGGAAAAATCTAGTAACGTGGAGAAGCAAGAAGTAAAATGTAGTGGCAAGGTCAAGTCAAAAGCCGAATACAGAGGTATGACACTTAGTATTTGTGAGATCTTATGGCTTAAGTTTTTGTTACAAGATTTGGGGGTCAAACATACTAAGCCAATGAAGTTATTTTGTGACAATAAAGTAGCTCGAGATATTGCTTATAATCTAGTGCAACATGGTTGGACCAAACATGTGGAGGTTGACAGGTTCTTTATTAAGGAGAAGTTGGATGGTAAGGTAATTGAGGTTCCTTCCATAAGAACAGAAGACCAAGTAGTGGACATTTTCACCAAGGCGGTTTCTTGAGACAAGTTCTTGAGGTTTCTAGACAAGTTGGGCATATGCAACATATATGCACCAACTTGAGGGGGAGTGTTGACTTGTATTGGAATTCCTACGATTATGGGATTCCTATTATCTTGGGTTTCCTAGTTTGGGATATATTTCTTGTAATCAATTGTATTTATTCTTTTCTTATTATGGTAGGATTGTATATGATTGTATATATACCTCTGATTGAGAAGAATACAAATCACATTGGAAAACATTCTTTCTTCTGAGAGGGGGTGCAGCAAGAGAGTGTGCGGAGTGAATAAAGTAGATGTTTGTGTCTTTATATATAGTAAATCATAAGGAGAGAAAAAGTTGCTCTCCAAATAATACAAAGTCTAATAGGAAAAAATTCCTAGAACAAAGAACAATCCTAAACCCAATCTACATAGGATTTACACAATCACGCTGTGAAATATTAATTACAACATATTGTTTATTGTTAATGACCCTTTCAAAATGTTGATGATTTTGGGGGTAAGGCAATACGGTGTAGACATTATATTTGTCATAATAATTTAGTATGAATTCACCATGAATGAAATGTGAACCTAAAAATTTTCATTTACAAATAGAGAAAAATATTAATCTGTACTACTGAGTGGCAATATTACTGCTATGTTTGAATTAGGTACTTCTGCTCTCTTTGGATAAGAAAATTTTAAAATTTTGCATGATTTTATATTAACTGTTACAAATTTATTGCAAGAAGTGTTACAGCCCGTCCTAAATCAAGGTATATATTTTATCACCGAGCATGTAAAATGACAATAATGCACTCGTAATTTAATGATGTGTATGGACATACATAGTTTTAAATTATTCCCTCGCTCACGAAATTAAATAGTGCTCGACGTCCCGAGCACGTCGACATGAATTAATAACGAGTATGGGTGTAATTATATTTTTCGGGTTGGTTATTTCTTCTTTGGACCCATTTTTAGGGCCTTAACTCAATGGTCCGATTAAGGGCCTTATTACTCCCTCAACCCGTGCCTTTTTCCCCCTCATTCCAGAAAATTCCTTTTCTCCCTCACACTCTCGCACACCTCTCCTCCTCTCGGTGATCTCGTCCCCGGCATCACACACACGCACATGCATATTTGCACCTACTGCAACTATCAAAATTTCTCCCTTTCTTCCTCACACCCCATACTTACCCTTTCTCACCCTTTGGAATTGTGTTGTTTTCGTATGGTAACTTCGTCGGAATCTCGAACCTTTTGACCAAGGTAAGTTTGGAATTTCCAACCTCAAATACTTCTCACGTTGAACTCCTAGGGATGTTTTTAATATTAAATAGAAGGTTTGTGGGTGATTTAATACAGATTTCATCTCGGGGAAGAATTTCCCCAGATTGTGGAAAGTGACCATTTTCAGACCAAATTTCCGACCAACTCCGGTTCTCCGTTGGGTCTCTTAAGAGTAGCATTGTCTTCTCTACATTTCTAACTTCAAAATGGCTTTTGAATCATCAAGTTTGATTTAGTATCGAACTAGAAACTAGCTAGGAAAGTTAGGAAAAAGTCCAGTTTTCTGGAATTCTTGGACCCGTGACCATTTGGCCACTTTTAGACCACTTTTCCGGCGAACCCTGTCTATTTCACCACACCAAATGGGTATAGATATATTCCCTGCATTCCTAAATTTACTTAGGCTTTTGAATCATGGATTTTGGTTGAGAATCGAGCTCGAAATGAGCTCTAGAAGTCTTGCGTTCCAAACTGCAAAAGTGCAGATTTTCGCAAGGAGGAAGAAGAAGGGAAAAAAAAAAAAAAAAAAAAAAAGAATCTGTTGGGCCAGCCCAACCTTTAAACCATTTCAAATTGGACCTAAGCCATTTAATTGGTTTAGGCCTTATGTTCAAAATGGATTAAGTCCATTTAGTTTTAAGTTGGGTTTTACACTTAAACTAGATTAAGTCCAAAAATTATTCTAAAAATATGAGGATGCTTGTAGGGTTGAGTAGGCTACAATGGTATATTCAAACACCCTAATTGAGCGACGTATGAGAAATTGATCCTAGGTTTTGTATATGTGCTATCAAATTGACGTTAAATTAGTTGTTGCACATATAGGTGAGACATTTCCGGAGGACGAGTGTAGCGAGGCAAGACTCGGGGATTAAGACATAGCTACATACCAGTGAGTGAGCTTTTGGTTTTCTATATATATGTATACATGTTTTATGTTTTCCTAGAAACTGCTTTAAATAGAATTACGTTTTTAAATGTCAAGTCAATTGCATTACATTTTAGTATATGTATTAGTATAGATATGCATAATGTTGCATGACACTACAGACGCCTAGGTAAGCTTTAGGTGAGTACTTATTGATGATAGAAATTGCAGTGAGTATAGCTGTGATGAGGGTCAGCCGTATAGGTCACGTTAGGTGACTCAAGCTGACATGGTACTATTGATGGATGAGGGTCAGACGTACATGTCACGTTAGGTGACCCTGGCTGACACAGTACTATTGATGGATGAGGGTCAGCCGTACAGGTCACATTAGGTGACTCCGGCTGAATGGATGAGCTATAGGTTTAGTCGTACAGGTCACGTTAGGTGACTTCGACTGACATATCATTTTACATTGATTTATTCCATCTGGCTTACATGTTTACTTAAGAGATAATTGACATGGCATATACTTGGATTTCCACCGCTTTGAGCATGATTCTTATATACGTATATACTACTATTTTCTGGGAAATTATACGGGTTTTACGGTGAGGGGTTATTATATTTGAAAAGTGAAATGTGTTTTCAAAACTTTGTTTTTGCCCACTCACATTTTCTGTTTTGTGCCCTTCTAGGTTGTAGTGGCTGAACGATCGTACCGACGAGGATTCTTGGCAAATCTCAATATAAGTGACTACCTCTGAGGATATGATCCTTACCCACACTATTGTAGTTTACTTATACTCTGACGACATGTGTGAAGTGGGTGCATACCCGCTCACCAGTACACTCTGGTATTTAGGCACTCTTAGGTTTAAATTTATTCACATTTTCCACATCATTACACTTTATGACTTCGTCAATTTCCAGGTATCGGCCAGCACAACTTGATTTGGAGTCTTAGTGGACATTCGAGTCGAAGTATGTCAAGAAGAATATATAAACTTTTCAAGGAATTTAAAGCCAAATCTCAAACATTACAAATGTACTACAAAGACAATGACCAAAGGACGAAAATGATACTTTCGCACTTATATACATTTAGTCATTCACAAAGTCCAGCCACATAATTATTGAAAGTTATCTGAATTTAGTTAGCTTGACCAAAAACATGTCTACAACTAACCTCAATTTTAATTGAGGTAATTTGTTTTTTTAAATATTGCAGTATAAATATGTCAATTAAATATCGCAGTATACTAATATACTCAAAACATACTAATATCAGAGCTGCTTAGTTCTGAGATAGTTTTTTATTTTATTTTTTGTGCTAAGAAATAAACTTAGTTAAGAAAAGGAGAATCTTCGGGAACACCCAGAGCCTAAACAGTGAAAAACAAGCTCTTGTCGTGCCTCACTAGGAAGCACCCTATCTCAAATACAAATATTGTCAACATTGTGACCAATGGAATTAATAGCATCTACAAGAAAGTTGACTTCTCTGTAAACATGTTGCCACTGAATAAATCAAACTAAGTCACCAGCCATTTGATTACCTCAATAATTGTTTTGAGCCTTAGAAAAATCTTGCACCGGTCCAGAATCTCATCAATAACAGTCCTGGAGTCATTTCAACCACTACATTCCTGACATTTCTCTGTTTTGCAAAAAGGGGAGCATCCC